CAGCGGATGAGTAGAAGATACATTTGTGGGAGTCGAGGTGGATGGAACAAAAGCAATCTTCAAATAATGAGGAATCGGTTCCGGTGCATCCCAGGGACCTGGAAAAAGTGGTCTAACTCAACCAGTGTGACCGGTTAAGTGGGTTAGTTGGAGAATTCGAAACTCACAGCATAATGTCCAATCGATCAATATTGATCCGGAATAGATTAGATCGCTGGCTGCCGTCGGAGCTCCTCATTCTGTGACGCCGTCACAGAATGAGGAGCTCGACGGCACGTTAAGCTTAGACGCACCTTCAAAGCTCTGATTTTTCAAGTTTTTGGAATATGCTGATCAAAGATCTTTGAACTATCGAGCGGCAATGCCGTACCCACCCGGCGAAGCCAGGCCGTGTCTCAGAATTAGAAGCGCCCGGCGACAGCAGAGCGATCCTACTGGCAGTGTACTATAACATGGTCAATTACCCATACTTATATTAAAGAATGAGGAATTTAAAAAATCTGGGAGAATCATTAACTTCGTGCAGTGCATACCTGAGGACACTGCGCGAGGGTATGGACAAAGGAGAGGTGGTGACGTATGTCTAGGAATGGTGACTCGGCACCACATCTGGAGTAGCGTGACGTTTTTTAGGGTCAAAAAAACATGGAGCGGGACGGGAAGGGAGTGATGCCCGAATACCGTCTCCATACTCCGTCTGCGCTGGCGCACAGTCATCCACACCTAACCATAGCTAAACATGCCTGCGTTTTTTCACTACGAGCTGTTCTCTACCGCTTAGTATGCGTTTTGCTACGGAATCTCGGCTTCTATGCGCTAGTGCTATATTTTGGGGATAGCGCAGACGGAGTGTGGAGAGTACTCGGCCCCACATCCTCACAGCACCGTTATCGTGCACTTTTGACCCAGATAGTGGCACGCTACTGCAACTGCGGACCTGTGTACACCACCTCGCGCATGGCGACGACCGTCCTCGGAGGTGGTGTACACCTTGCCTTTGAGTACATCGGCACTGCTGGCAACGCAAGCAGCGGCATGAGGAGAAGCCGAGCTGCCGTTACAGTGGCTCCCAAGCTCACGGACTCTTCTTTTATATGAATCAAAGCGTCCTTCCCGTTCAATGTCCTCACCTTTCGAATGTCACATTCAGGGCTTCATGGAGTCATCTATTTGTGCTTCAGTCCGAAGGGCGTTCATGGAGTCATCTAATTTGTGACTTTCAATCGTTTCTATTAACGCTTCTTTAAGGGATAAAACGATTTCATCAGATTGGACGAAGCCTGTAAGCCACTGACTATATCCATTGCAGAGTCCCGCTGCAGCGGCTAGAATATTGTGATAATTTTTATTTGACATGTGGCGATTCCATGATCCATTAAAAATCTGCTGCTACAATTCCTCTCGTTCGGACCACCCTGAACCACCTCGGAATAAGAAAATCTAAAATAAGGTCTCTCTGAGTTCTCCGAACATGAAATCGCATGAAACATTACTAAAGAAAATAGAGGAAAGCAGATAGCGAGCAGATTCCGTGGGGAGAAAAAGCCTTTCTATCTCCGTCATCTCATTCAGAAGTGCGCAAAATTTTATTCATATAAAGCGAAGAGGAAAGAAGATAAAAAAAGTAATGTATTTGGCCTTTTGGGAAAGTTAAAGTAGATCCGCCGATCACCAAGTAACCCACTCCCAGGGCCCCGAAAGCTTTTACCTCTGCTGCCTTCGGATTTTTAACAAGTGCGAGTAAATTGGTGCTGCCAGTATCGGCGAATGAATTGTAGCTTTGCCGTCGGAGCGTACCTTCAACTGACCACAACGTTGAAATCAAAACAGCTTCATGTTGGGGAAATGGGACGATTGAACCCAGGTCTCAGTAGTGTTAGTGCCCAGCGGGGCAGTAAAGAAATTGTGTGCTGCGACCTCGTTAATGAGCTTTGTTCGCGCACCTATTGGATCGAGGTATAATTAGCTAGGTGCGCAAGCCGATCTCATTGAGGCACGCATGAGCTACCAATATCGGCACAAATTGAGTGAAAACTCCTAACAGATAAAGGTCAAGGCTTACAAAAAAGAAAAAAAGATTAAGGAAGGCATACAGGCAACGAGAGGGCTCAGTTTTTGGCGCCTCCAGCGCTGGTAGTTCATGCAGGGAGAGCCATCCCCTGGGCAGCAGCCCTGCCGAACCTTCGGGAAGAGTCCTCTCTGCGTATGGGTTTGACGCCTCATTTTGCGCTTAATTTAGTGTCAAAAAGGATGCTCAAATTAGGCGCCACAAAATTACTTTCGTCCACTTCCAGGCTTCCACAAGGTAAAGGGATGGCCGGCTGCATCACTACTTACTCCAATGAATTTTGGTAATGATAAACAAGCCGGTTGCAAATGCAACAAAAATTGTCGAACCTGTAGTTTCACAGAAACGGATAACGTCATAGTGTCACATGTTACAGGCTTACACATCAAAACTTATAAAGACATAGATACAAATTGCAAGACTAAGAACGTAATATACTGTTTTAACATGCAATGGATGTGGAATACAGTATGTTGGTATGACTATAAGGAAACTGAAAGAAAGAATCGGAGAACATGTTACCAACACATACACGCAAAAGATACATACGCCCTTGTACAATCATTTTAAAAAATGTAACAAGGGTTTTTCTGTACAAGTGCTGGACTCTCAGAAGGATAATGATGAAACCACCCTTCTCGAAAAAGAAATGTTTTGGATAAAACCGCTCATGACACCATATCCTTTTGGGTTGAACTGCACAACAGTTAAAGCATTATGGAAATATCACAAATGTGGACAACCCTCTCCTGTACAAAGGCAATCATCCGTTCTTTTCGCTTAAGATTACGAAGCGAAGAATTAATAGAGGAAAAGCAGAAAAAAACAGCATGCCAAAGAAAGGAATTACATATCTAATAGCGTCATAGAAGAAATCACCAACAGTACAGAAACACTGAAGCCTATACAATACTTCAGACTACTTAAGAGCCTTCGTAAGGAAGAAATCAACAAGATCATTA